CACTTCAGTTGCATGGTTTCTTGCGTAAGCACGTAGTTAAATCTAAATTTCACCTGTTTTGCACGTTTGTATTATCATTTTTCCAGTTAAATAATGCATGAGGTCTCAATGGGGAGAAATGTGACCATTAGCCTATCTGATAGGAACTGTGGAGCTGTTTTCCACCTCTCTGTCCTTGGAACGAGGCAGAAAAACCTGACTGTTCGTCAATACCAGGTCATTTTACCCCGGCCGGCCTGGTTCATCTACACCATTCTAAAACTCTGCTAATGACACCCTGAGACGTCCTCGGTGCGATGAGGACCCAGAGGGTTCCAACACCAATATGAATATAGTCTAGCACTGTCTGGTCTTCTCTGAAAGCCCTTTGACAAAAATTGCAATTAGAAACACCTCAGACACACCAATCTGCAATAAGACACTGCCATGGTCTTCCCGGCTACATTTACTGTTGTTACACCTCATACATGAAAAAACATCCCTTTGAGGTTAGTAATCTTTAGACGTGTCACCAGGTTCATTAGGAAAAAATGACCACAAAGTAACGCTAGATGAAGCCCAGAGCAGAAACCCACCTCAGTTACAGATTTATCAAAATCGATAAAAGAACATTTTGCTGTGAAGATAACTGGAGGTTTGTTGGGCTGCAAACATTTTTGCTTTCAAGTCAAATGTTTATCGTTAGCTCTGTGGGAAAACTCAAAGGGATAGTTTGTTTTTTGAAGTTTTGAGTAATATCTTACCAGTTTGAGAAATATATTTTGAACAACCTCAGTTTGGAGAGATAAAGTTTGATTCTGACTGGATTGATGCTGGTCAGAGAGGGGCCACGGCAACAATAAACAGCTGCCATCTTACCCCGTCTTGGGCTGAGATGGTGTAGAGGTAGGGCAGCCGACTTGGGACCAGAAAGTTGCGGTTCGACTCCCCGCCATTCCCATATGTCGTGGTGTCTCTGAGCAAGACACCCAATCCCCAATTGCTCCCCGGGCGCCCACATAGCTTCCCACTGCTCCACCTGGGTGTATCTCAGGTGTGATGGGTTGAATGCAGAGAACTAATTTTGCCATTGTATGGAAACATACACTGATGACAACACATAGTGCACATATATATGTATATAAAGTGATAACTGATAAGCGTGTAAAGTTTCATTTAGACCGTGAAAAGGTTTGTAAAAATATATATTTTTACATGAAATGCTGTGAGTTTTTTTTTTAGAATGTACTTGTTTTGAAAAAGCAACCATCTACTTTGGTCTTGGCCCTGCTCAAACTAGCCATCAGCTCATCTGTCCAGTCCCAACTAAAACTCTGATTCTCCAAACGGAGTTTGTTCAGAGAACTGTCTTCAACAGGTTGACCATAATAACTGACCACAACCTTGCCACAGAACCCCACTTCCAGTCTATTGCATTTAATTATGAAACTTACAATGAGGCCAACACAGGACTGATTTCATGTTGAATTACAGAAGTACACCAACAGAAACATGTTGCACTAGTTTGCTTTGCCCACTTAAAGACAGCACATTATCCCTTTTCTCTCTGGGCCATTTAGACTGCTAAGTCTACCATTTGAAAAATACTTACCTTGTTAAAGAAAGTTTAATGTCATATGCAATTATTTGACCCTTATGAATATTAAAGGTTCCCATCTCTGGCCTATTAAAAATGCATGTGGCATTGTGGTTGTTGATCACGTTTAGAACGGTCATGCAAATTGGACTGTCTTTCCTGTCAGGGCCTCAGATGAATAATGTAGTTGTGTTGTATGTTCAGGGACACACCATTGACAGTCAATTAACAAGTTTGATTGGTGTGTGAACTCATTCTTTTGAACTGTTAATTTTATGTAAATAGTATTCGCTCGCTCTTCTTTACCGTCTCTTCCCCCCAACCATGATCAACACAGAAACCATAAAACCCTAGATCCTCAATTCCACCTCCCACTAAGAGTAACCAGAGTGGGATGCTTAATAATTGATCATCACACACCTGCTTCGTAGACGCTATGGGAAAATGCCTTTACCAGTCAAGGGCCCCGTGCTTGCACCTTTTGATATTCAAATTGACAAATGGTAGTTGGTCTTTATGAATTCTGAATGCAGCCAGCACTTTTCATGTGGAAGAGCTTGTTAAAAGATTGTAGCCCCACGTCCAACCTGATGGACCTCTTCTCTGTTTGATGGGATATGATGGCATTTGATGGCTCGTAAATGGAATGCCAATTGACAATTTGTTGTTGATGTGTGGGGAATCTGGCTTTTATGTTAGGCAGTCACAGTAATGCAGGCTCCCGGGCAGATCGTGCTTGCAGGTAAATGATCCGGTGATTGATCCAAATGGTTAAAAGCCGAGTGGGCTTTATCTCCCTCCTCTCCTTACTTTCCCTCGCCTGCGTCTCTCTAACTTGTCTTCCCTCCATCTCTTGTCTCGTACACTATCCCAGTAATTTGCAGCAGCAGAGATGGAAGCTAAAGCTTCATCAAAGCTGACAAGTGAACCCAAGAGCTGGAGATCATGGCTAACCCATTCAATTATGGAAATACCAATGACAGTGTCTGCCCTCAAGCTAAACAGTTGTGTGGCTAACGTCTTGTTTTGTTGGCATTCTACAAAGGCCAATTTTGCGCATAAAAAAAAAGTAACTCACTAACAAGATGGCATGAACTTGGGTGATGCTGGTTTAGACCAGTAAGACAAAAACATAAGTTTTGAAATAAGCACAAAAGGAAGTGAAATTTGAGTAGTAATAACCTTTTGTAACATGCTAACCCTGCTGATTTCATTTGAAACCCAATGCCGTTGGCTGCGTCTTTACTATTCAGTAAACTCTTCTTCATGTATCACTTGATTCTCTCCAGAGATTTGCATGTACGTGTGAACCTCTGAAATTTTTAGCATCTCATAGGCATCCATTTGCATTGACCATTACATAGTGTCCATGGCTAATGCCGTCCAAACACTGCTGATCTGCGGGGTCTCTAAAGGCCTGACCTCCTTAATGCCATCCCTCATGCCGACTTGTCGGTCTGCATTAAGCAGATTGATTTTTTTTTTCAGGTTTCATTATTCAAAGAGCTTAACACTAACAGAGGTATTTAACATAGGATTGAGCTTATTATCACATGGTTAATTATGCTTATGAATACCATTGGTGCCATTGAGATATATTGGCAAGCATCTAACAAAACATGTATTAGACGTGTGAAATATGAGTTGTTGGTGATAAGATGATGACAATTGGGAGCTGGAACTTGTTAATTAATGTTCCACAAATCAAATATTGACTTATGTTTAATGTTAATTTGATTATAGCACATTGGCAAAAGGTGTACAGTACAGTACTTTCTTTTTTTTTTAATAAAGCTTATTTTGTTGTTTCATGGCTTTATTCAGTTTTCTGATTATCAAGCACATTGAGAGTAGACTTATTTTTACTTAATTTCAAATTGTTCACTTTTTAATTGTTTCCTATTTTTCAAATTGTTTTAAAAATATCTATTTTTTAGTTGCTTTTCTTTTTGACTCATGAGGTTTCCAAGTCTTTTGTTCTGCATCATTCACTCAGACTTTACAAAACTTGATTTAACTGGTTATAAAATGCACCAGTTGTTTTGGGGAGGAAAAGCAAATGATGTCTAAACACCTTACTGTCAGATCGCTTACAGTTTTAAATAATTACGTCATTTAATTTTAACTATACACATGACAAATTACAGCTTGATATGTGTCACAATTCAATTCAGTTTATTTATATATTGTAGCACCAAATCACAACAGAGTTGTCTCAGGGCACTTTACAGAAACATTCACATAAAAGCCAATTAGTAAAGTTCTCTATCTAAGGAATCCAGCAGACAAGTTGAATCTTGGCTTCGATGCAGTCTCCCATCCTGAGCAAGCACAGTGGCAACAGTGGAAAGAAAAAACTCCCTTTTAACAGGAAGAAACCTCCAGCAGAACCAGCTCAGGACAAGCGGCCATCTGCTTTGACCGGCTGGTTTGAGAGGACAGGAAGGAGAGACAGACGAACACAGAATGGTAGGTCCAGGTGTAGGTCCAGGTATATCTGAAAGACAAAAAAAACACATGTTAAGGATAGAAAAAATAATTACAAATACAAACAGGTTGAGCAGAGTAAAGGCAGTACATTGTGACAAAATGTGGTCAGTTTGTCCTCCAGCAGTTTAAGCTTATAGCAGCATAACTAAGGGACAGTTCAGGAAACCCAAGCCGACCCTAACTATAGGATTGATCAAAAAGTAAAGTCTTAAGCCTAGTTTTAAAACTGGACAATGTGTCAGCCTCACGGACAAAGATTGGAAGTTGGTTCCACAAGAGAGGAGCCTGATAACTGAAGGATCTTCCTTCCGTTCTGTTTTTGGAAACTCTAGGAACCACAAGTAAACCTGCAGCCTGAGAGTGAAGTGCTCTGTTAGGAAAATATGGAACAATAAGATCTGTATTATAAGATGGAGCTAGGTTGTTGAGAGCTTTGTAACTTAGGAACAGTTAAACTACTGTAATAAATCATATTTGTCCCTTGATTGCCAGTTACAGTTCCATCACAGTAAACTGGGCTTACAACCTGTTTAGGTGGCAGCTTGCACAAAAACACAATCTTGTGACTTTTTTTTCTCATCTGTAAATTTCACATACTGAAAATAAAGATATATTGTTTAAAGACAGTCAGCCCGATCAAGCAGAACTTTTTCAAAAAGGTGTCATCTGTTGTGAAATCTCTGCATGTAGCTGTGAGTAGTAACAGGTGGTCAATACTTCACTTTGATCTAGACTGAAAAACTCAAGTAACCATTTTGTAGATTAAGATATTTTTTAAAAGATGTGCATAGTAATGACTTTTTGTTAATACCCGGACTTCTTTCTTTAACAGTACGTTGCATGTTTTGTTTTATTCTAGCAGGTTGCAAGCGTCTAACTAATCATATATTTTCTACACATCTGACTTTGTTTTTTTTTGTTTTCCATGTTCCAGGTAGATGAGGTGGTGTTCTGTGCTGGTCAAATTGCTTTGGTCCCCTGCACCATGAAATTAGTAAAGTTTGGCACCTTCACACAAACCCAGCTGACCCTCGGCCATGTGACGAAGGTTTTGGAAGCCGTGATCAACGGCTTAACTCTGCAGCATGTCGTCCAGGCCCACTGCTACACTACACGACACCAAGACTCTGAGATGATCAGAAACGTCTGGGACAACATGCTGAAGTCTGCAGGGGAAGAGCAGGTCAGCCACTTTGGAGTCGAATTTTGGTTTTTGAAATATATGAGCGACATTGACATTTTATGACTTGCTGTCTTATAGATGCAGAAGAGATATCGATTATACTTATAAGATGAGCACGTTTTTAGTAGAGCAGAACAACTGAACGCATGCATCAGTTTTGAAGTAAAAGAAGAGAAACTTGCTCTGGAATTCTAGTTTTCAGAGATGCCTATTAAAAATTGTGTTTTATAGTTGTTAAAAAAATGGATGTTTCAAACCCCTCTGTGCCCCCACGAGACCCAAGCCACTGCTACTGATATTTACCAGTGAGTGCGCTCATGAAAAGTTGATGATGTGGGAAACGCTGGCGTCTTTGATAATGCAGAGCTTGGCACAGAAGCAGATGTCTTCCTCAGAGCCTCCCTAATCCTTTGCCCCCACACACCATTTTAGAGCGGTGTTCAACTCTCAGAGCAGCTTATCCCCCTCCTCGATCCTCTTCCCTGCCACCACCCTCCACCCTTTGCTCCATTCTGTCGCGCTGGCTTACAACCCTTGCTCCGAACGTCTAATAGGGGCTCCAGTCTCCCTTGGCAGCCCTTCTCCTCCCACAGTAATCTGCCTAACCATGGGAATAGGGCCTCTGGGAGGGCTGCAGGAGCCCACCTCCAACATGTGGCTCCGTATAACAGTTTGAAAGACTCAGAAGAAAATGTCTACTTTATGTCACTTCCAGGACTTCATGAAGCAGAACTAAATGTTCAATTCTAATCATATTTAAATTTCGAACAGCTTTAATACATTTGATAGAAATATTTAAACTTATGCATCAAATCGCTTTGATAAAAGCTGGAGTGTTTTTGATATTTTATAGCTTTTGACACGTTTGCTTTACTGCGAATCACAGTGGGTTAAAAGTATTGAAAGCCATGACAGTGCAATGCAAATTTAGCGTACAGAGTGTCACTCTGTTTAAACGGCTAACTTAGGGCCAAGCTTTGGGAAATGGCAAGACTAGATTCATGTCAAAGGTCTCGGGAAATCATTGTTCATCTGTTGTGCTTCCTTACAGCCTGTCACAACAGTTTAAAATATTGATCTGACCCATGCTTGCTACCAGGAGGTGATGTTTTCAGATGTGTTCTCACCTGGAAGAGAAACAATCTAGATACCAATCGTTTTTCTAACCACACTCTCTGTTATGGTTTTATGACTTTTCCAGTTAAAGAGCATTTTGCATTTGCAGGATGTGTCTGCTGTGTAAGTTGCTACATTTAAATACATTTTGGGGCGGCTGTGGCTGAGTGGTTATAGTAGTCGTCCTCCAGTGCGAGAGCTGGGGGTTTGATTCCCCCAGCAGCCACATGCCAAAGTGCCCCTGGGCAAGACACTGAACCCCTCATAGTCTCTGATGTGTGTCCCATCGGTGTCTGAATATAATCTAAAGCACTGATTAGTCTTTGTACAGATCTAGTAGAGTGCTGTATGAGTGTGTACATGAGGTACAGATTGTGTTGTAAAGAGCTTTGAGTGTTTTGATAAGATAGTACTACTATATAAGTACATTCCATTTTGGAGCTTTATCCAAAAGTTTGGGGAAAAACAGAAAACACAATCTTATATTATTTACCTGTTTAAAATACGTTTTAACTCTTATCAAACCCTGGTTGTGTCCATCTCACAAAAACAGAATGAAAAAAGGTGTAGTATTATTAGATTTAGTTTTACCGTAATTTCCAGACTATAAGCAGCTACTTTTTTCACATACTTTGAACACCTCAGCTTATACAATGCTGCAACTAATTTATGGTTTTGATGGGCTAACAAGCTTCCTGCCACCAAAACATTTAACCTGGTCACACCTGGGTGCTCACATAGCTGTCCCTCGTGACTCAATGAAACCACCTGTATAAATAATAATAATAATAATAATAATGTCATCACAATGTCAGCACTGTATGTTTCCATACAATGGCAAAATTAGTCTCTGCATTTAACCCATCCACCACCAGGTGGTGCAGTAAATAAAGATAAAATTAAAAATATGACCAATGAAATTACCGAACAAGTCACAGTGGACCAATGAAACTTTGTTTGCCCCCCTCCCCGTTCTCCCCTCCCTTCCCCGTTGTGTCCCCTCCCTGGAGGCACAACAAAGTGTTTGCAGCCACTCGATATAAGTTTGAATCGTGCGTTTAAAATGGCACTCCGAGCTCGGTGGGAGGCTTGGATGACTAGTGGTGAGAAATGACTTCCTGGTAAGCTACTGTATTTTTTTTTAACCGGCCGTGTTACAGGCACTGTTCAGAAAAGAAAAAAACTTTTACGTAATAGAGTGCTATGTGTTGTCATCAATGTATGTTTCCATACAACGCTGAAATTGGTTCTCTGCATTTAACCCATCACAAGTGAGATACACCCAGGTGGAGCAGTGGGCAGCTACGTAAGCACCCAGGGAACAATTAGGGATTAGGTGTCCTGCTCAGAGACACCACGACATGTAGAAATGGCTGGGAGTCGAACCGCGACTTTTTGGTCCCATGTCGGTTGCCCTACCTCTACCCCATCATTTGTGTATGTTATCAGTAAGTATTTAATTAAGAGTTTTAAAAGAACGTTCTGGGTAAATATCTCATGTTACAATATGGACACCTGCAGCTTATAGACAATTGCAGCCTATATATGTACTTTATTTTTTTTTATTTAGTGGGCACTGCTTATATTCAGGTGCACTCAGTAGTCTTGCAATTACGGTAATTAAACTATATAGTTTAGATATCCTGATGCATGCTCAATAATCCAGGTAGAAAAATCTAAAAAAGTTTAATCTGGTCCTCTGGACATTCAAAAAAAAACCAAAACAAAGCAAATCAACAAAAAAATGTAGAAACGTTTCGTCTCTCATCCGAGAGACTTCGAAACGTTTCTACATTTTTTTGTTGATTTGCTTTTTTTTTTTTTTTTTTTTTGAATGTCCAGAGGACCAGATTTAACTTTTTTAGATATATAGTTTAGAATTGCTTTGAGTAAACCTAATACAATGTAATCAAGACAAAAATATGAAGAGATTAACAAAAAAACAGAGAAATAAAATCCATAAATAAAATAAGCTTTTCATATTGTTTAAAGGAATGCATGTGACCAGCCTTCTTTCATGACTGAATTTTAGAATGAGATTATCTTGTGCTGAAAAATGATGGGTTTAATTTGTTCTGGTTAAACCTTGAAACAACAACAACAATAATGTCTATCAAATGAATATTTCCTGAAAGTTTTATTAAAATGTGTGCAGTGGTTCATTTAATATTTTGGTAAATGTCAGACAGAATGTCCCTATAGGCAGCCGGCAAAGATAACAGTAAATGTGATTTCAATAACCAAAATGTATCCAAATAAAAAAATGCTATTAAAAAAACCTATAAATTTACCAACCACCTATTAACATGGTTGACTTAAAGATGATGTTTAGGATCAAAATGCAAAGTGTGTCTGAAGCCATAGGGCCCGTAACTGTTGCACACTGATCATTTTTCTAGTCGGGTTGATGAAGAAGCTTGCAGGGTTAATTGGGAGCGTGCTGGAGTCGCTACACGTGTGAAATTGTATTTACGCTGCATTAAACCACAAACAGCTTGTTTGTCTGTGTGCATCGGAGAATGTGCGAAAAAGGTTTGACGACTGTGGAGATGGCGATGTGCTAAGTCAATAAATGTTAAACAGACGTCCCTTTGTGTTGAAACATGCTCTGAAGCATACTGAGTTTAAAGCAAATGCTATTAATGTTAAATTATGAGCAAATGCATATAGCACAATCTTTGATTTTTAAATTAGCTTGTGCTAAATTTGCAGTTTCTCTTCTCAACAGCACAGCCAAACTTTTTTGGACTTTTTAACCTACTGCTGTGATTTTACAGTGGCCACATCATTATAAACTTTCTTCTCCCTGTTGACGTTGCCCAGTGAGTTTCATTTACACAAACAATCTGGCAAGCCTCACCGTGGAGTCTTGAGAAAAGAGTGAATAAAGGAGTGAATAGGAGTGGATATTATAGCAGACTGACAGCACTACAGTAAGTGCTGAGACATAAGAACCACATGCTGAAGGCATCCTGCTGGGCAGGAAATGTAGGGGAACTGGCTAAGCTGTGCAGCCCCATCAACTCCCTGCTGTTCCCCTCCTTTACACCACTTCCTTATTACCGTGTTTACCGTTCGGCTTTCATGCCTATCGGCCCTCCAACCCACCACACGCTCCAGGCACATGGGCGCAAGTTCGAGGAGGGGAGGGAATGGGGAAAAAGGAAAACAAACATAAGAAGAAGCAGGTCACACCCCATCAGCGTTAGAGAGCTGAGCACAGCAAATTCAAACTGTATGAGCTTTTACCTGCTACCTACAGGGGGAATGGTGCGTGCCCTGGAACTGGTGTGGCACCAAGTAATGAGATGGATTGCGTTTAGTTGCTGGTGAGAAACACCCACTCATTCTGCCACCTGCCAGCCCTCCTAACTTGCCACTCTAGCATTCAGCTCCGCCATATATCAAACTGTGTGCTTGGTCGGATTAATTTAATTAATGACGTCCAATCAGGGAGGAGTGGAAGTGGTCTTTTCTCCATTCTGCCAGTGAGGCACACAGTAATAGAGTTTGACCATTATTCTATGTTTTCATATAGAAAATCCAGAATTTAGCACATTTGGCGGCACAGAACTGCTGAGCGATCATCCCACCTAACGTTGAATTGTAGGTGTGTTAAAAAGGAAACAAATGGGGACTGATGTAACCTAATCCGACAGCTCTTATAAAAAGTCAGCAACTGTGCTGTAGCAATGAAATCCTGCCAGAGGCTTGTGCACTGCAATGAAGTCCTCAAATCCTTTTGCAGACTGCTGGTTGGGTATACTACCCAGGCACTCAAGGCCTGCAGGGTGGCCTTTAAGCCTGGCTGAGCAAGAACTCCCTGTCCTGTCACTTTTCTCCCTACTTTGCTTTCTGTTCCATGTTCAATCACTATTGACAAGCGCTGGAGCAGTTCCCTCCAGGAGAATACCTAGGCTGTGCCAGAAGTGCTAATATAACATTTATCAAAGCTCTGGACACGTATATGTGCTGTCACTTTGTCTGACATGTGGAGAGGTCCGTGCTGACACGGCTTTTGTTGTTGCCCTCTTTGATTGTTATGGTTGATCACTGCAAACGAGCTCCCTTCAAAATCAGCGCAGTTCAGAAATCTTAACCTAACCTCCTCATATATTTTGTCACAAGTGTTTGCTTAAGTTTAATCTAAAGGTAAGTGCTGCTTCAGTGAATGCGGCAGATTGGGTCATGACAGGTCCATCTTTTGACGGGACAAAGAGGCCGCCATTTGGTCTCGTCAATTATTTTGTTTTTTGTGAGCGAGTATCAAAATAAAATGTAAGTAACCTGTTATTATTCTGCACTTAAGAAGTGGGGTGTAAGTGGATGAAAATTGATCCAACAAATTGAAAAGGGGGTTAAGTGTTTTCTGCCCTATCGACTGACTGAAATGACAGTTACATAAAACACTCATTTCTCTCCCATTAGCAGATGAAGCCACCACCAAGTATTATTAGGGGGCCACATTGTGGCGGTCCTCTAAAACATTTTGTTTCTGTTAATGGCCCTCATTCTAAAGAAGAAAGAGCAATATTTTGGCAGTAGAGATAAAATTGAAACTCTAAATGTGCGTGGTAAAACATGTGCAAAGATGGAATCTGTCATGTTGGCAAATGCAACTCAAATTGAATTCATCTGTGTTTTATTTACTGTGATTGCAAACACCGTGGATTCATTCTGAATTGTTTGTACTCGGTCGTTACAAAGGGTCATTTCACAGTGTCACATTATTTGATACACTGTCAGCCTGTCATGTAAAAAGCTTGTCTAGTGCTGCGTTGTTGCATTTTTCTGATGGGCTCAGAGACCACAAACACCTCAGCAGGAGGGCCAATCATTCTATTGATTGCAGTGTGCTACAGAATACATAGTATATCATTTCCCTTGTGATTAATTTGAATTCATTCTGTTTATTTGCAGAACTTTTGGGAGTCTGAGCTCAAACCTATGCCATTATTGATAGTAGTGGTGCCTGCCTTACCCAAGGATGCAGCCTTTGAGCTTCATGTAACAGCAGTTAAAGACGATCCCTCCCAAAGAACGTCTCATGAAATAACTACGCATGTGGCGTGTGGATCTATAGAATGCCACTCTGTACTGTCTGCTGATGGCATGAGTGGTTCTCTGTCAATATCTCTGGGCGTTCCTGGCGACAACCTAAAAGTTAGTGATGTGAAATGTGTCACGGAGGAAGTTGGCACCACGTTCATGAAAGCCATGAAGATGATGGACGCTCAGCTGGTGCCTCAGTGTGCAAGGGTGTTCTACAAGTGCAGCCATGCTCTAGTTCACCAGATTGTTCAAGGTATGCCATCACTGACACTTTCACCACCAATCTGCCACATTAAAACACTTCCAGCCCTATTTTTCCAGTATGCTGTAGGAGCTCTGTATGTTCTTAGGCTCTTCCAGATTAGTTTTACACCTGATTTGCACAAATACAGGTGCAGGTCATAAAATTAGAATATGATGAAAAAGTTGATTTATTTCAGTAATTCCATTCAAAAAGTGAAACTTGTATATTATATTCATTCATTACACACAGACTGATATATTTCAATTTTTTTTTTATGTTGATGATTATAACTAACAATTAATGAAAACCCCAAATTCAGTATCTCAGAAAATTAGAATATTGTGAAAAGGTTCAATATTGAAGACACCTGGTGCCACACTCTAATCAGCTAATTAACTCAAAACACTTGCAAAGACCTTTAAATGGTCTCAGTCCAGTTCTGTTGGCTACACAATCATGGGGAAGACTGCTGACTTGACAGTTGTCCAAAAGACGACCATTGACACCTTGCACAAGGAGGCAAGACACAAAAGGTTATTACTACAGAGGATGGCTGTTCATAGAGCCCTGTGTCCAAGCACATTAAGAGAGGCGAAGGGAAGGAAAAGAAGTGGTAGAAAAAAGTGTACAAACAATAAAGATAACCGCACCCTGGAGATGATTGTGAAACAAAACCCATTCCAAAATGTGGGGGAGATTCACAAAGAGTGGACTGCAGCTGGAGTCAGTGCATTAAGAACCACCATGCACAGATGTATGCAAGACATGGGTTTCAGCTGTCACATTCCTTGTGTCAAGCCACTTTTGAACAAGAGACAGCGCCAGAAGCGTCTCGCCTGGGACTGCTGCTGAGTGGTCCAAAGTTATGTTCTCTGATAAAAGTAATTTTGCATTTCCTTTGGAAATCAAGGTCCCAGAGTCTGGAGGAAGAGAGAAGAGGCACAGAATCCATGTTGCGTCAGATCCAGTGTCAAGTTTCCACAGTCAGTGATGGTTGGGGTGCCATGTCATCTGCTGGTGTTGGTCCACTGTGTTTTCTGAGGTCCAAGGTCAACACAGCATCTACCAGGAAGTTTTACAGACTTCATGCTTCCTGCTGCTGACCAACTTTATGAAGATGCAGGTTTCATTTTCCAACAGGACTTGACACCTGCACACAGTGCCAGAGCTACCAGTACCTGGTTTAAGGACCATGGTATCCCTGTTCTTTACTGGCCAGCAAACTTTAACCCCATAGAAAATCTATGGAGTATTTATGAAGAGGAAGATGTGATACACCAGACCCAACAATTCAGAAGACCTGAAGGCCACTATCAGAGCAATGTGGACTCTCAGAACACCTGAGCTGTGACACAGACTGATCCACTCCATGCCACGCCGCATTACTGCAGTAATTCAGGCAAAAGGAGCAACAACTAAGTATTAAGTGCTATACGTGTTAATACTTTTCATGTTTATACTTTTCAGTTGGCCAACATTTCTGAACATCTTTTTTTTATTGGTCTTAAGTGATATTCTAATTTTCTAAGGTACTGAATTTGGGGTTTTCATTAGTTGTCAATTATAATCATCAACATTAAAAGAAATAAACATTTGAAATAGATCAGTCTGTGTGTAATGAATTAATATAACATACAAGTTTCACTATTTGAATGGAATTACTGAAATAAATGAACTTTTTCATCATATTCTAGTTTTACGACCAGCATCTGTAAATTATTTCTCCCATTAGGGGAAGTTGCTACCATAGGAAGTTTACTTAGTTTGTTACATTTAGCCTTGTGATTCTCTGCAAAGTAAAATCTAGCATTGTCATATGATTTACTTTATCTGGTGTGGGTTTAAAAGTTGAGTCTGATGTTGAATTTGTAACAATTTAATGGTCTTATTTATTAGTAGGAATCAACTTTAAATTAGGCCTCCTGACGAATGCAGCATTTGTTCCTCAACAGTCTAATAATGAAAGCAAAGTGACAGCCTGTCTAGCAGCTCTGCAGTCTCTTCTCTAAGAAACTTTGAGCTAACATTGGTTAAATCAACATAAAGTATTCAAGGAAACAGCGTCCCCAGAGGATCTCCTCGCCTTCCTGAGTTTAATTATTGTAAGGCATTTGTTGTGTCTGCGGCGTGTACAGTAACCCAGGCAGCTGGCACAGTCTTTTGTCATCATTACACTTTTATACGCCACCGTCTCTGGCTCCCAGGATTGTGGGATCTCGTCAAGGCGGATGTGGAGCGGTATTTGTTTTATCCTAAGAGATGTTCTCTCCAAGAGAAAAGGGCAATGAGCACATCGATCACACAGACACGGCTGTCAAGCCATCGTTAAAGCAGTCAATTAACATTTTTGAATCTTTGCCAAATCAACCATCTTATTATCATTCTTACCGTGACATAAGTTATTGTTTTCAGAATATGGAATTATGGTTTCTAGTAATGAATAGGAGGAGGTTGAGTTATTTCAAAAATGTGTCTAGATGTGCATGACAGAGAAACTGTGATTTGTGTTATCTAATTAGATCATTGTTACTGAGAATTCATTGTGCTTTTCTGTGATTCACAGTTGGTAAAACTAATTTAACACTTACATTTTATTTATTTCGGTGTTTAACTTTTACATATCGTGGTACTCTTATTAATAAATTACAGCTTAAACATGGTTGAACGAGATATCCTGATGCATGCTCAGTAATCCAGGTAGAAACTCCAAAAAAGTTAAATCTGGTCCTCTGGATATTCAAAACACATTACAGCAAAGACTGGTTCATCCCAAAGATCCAGTCCCCCGGCACAAACAGAGTAATGTTGTGTATGCTGTTCAGTGTCAGGAGGGTGATCAGTCTTACATCGGGGAAACTAAACAGCCACTGGCCAAAAGGATGGACCAGCACAGAAGATCAACATCATCAGGCCAGGACTCTGTGGTCTACACTCATCTCCAGGCCAGCGGTCACTCTTTCAAGGATGAAGATGTTCACATCCTGGATAGAGAGGAACGATGGTTTGAGAGAGGAGTAAAGGAGGCCATCTTTGTGAAAAAAAATCGTCCATCATTAAACGGGGTGGAGGCCTCCGGGTTCAACTGTCCCCCTCTTACAATGCTGTGATTGCTAGTATCACTCAACCCTCTGTGAACAGTAAACAGCCATCAGTGTGCTAATGATCCATTGTTAGGCTGATGGTCCTTCTTGACCATGTGAGCAGCTGGTTTTGGTTGTCAGCAGCAAAACTGATCCACTATGAGAAGGTGCTATTTATAAGACTGAGCTGAATACAGCACCTCAGACTGAGGAAGTCTCTCGGATGAGAGACGAAACGTTTCTACAATTTTTTGTTTGTTTTTTTGGGATGTCCAGAGGACCAGATTTAACTTTTTGGGATGGTTGTACGAGGTTATACTAGATATTGGACATTTGATTATTAAGCCTTTTATATGCGTGAACTATTCTCAAAATGTAATTTTTTGCTACAAATTACAAAGTCTATTACATAATTGTTTGCAACATGAAAGTTTCTTTGTTATAAATCCTCAAATTTCTCCCTGAACAGCCATTTACTGACTCGTCACTGAGATTAACTTTACCTTGCGATGCTTATGCAGCCCAGCCCTGCAACTTACCCCCTGGCCTCTTTATGGGTCACAGCCTGTGATCATTGGGTGAAGAATCCAAAAGTCAAAGGAGAAAAAGTAACACCTCTGGCGTTAGCAGCTACAACCTTACGACTGCTGCTGTCAGTGCACAGACACACAGAGGAGCGCAATGTGACTGCGCCCCCTCCTTCTTTCATTTACTAGCTTTAGGATTCACTGTTGATAGATGCGACATATGGTTCAAATGAAACCTTTAAACATCTTGTCTCAACTTGTTACTTACAACAGAACGGTTTTCAAAGATCGCCCCTCACAACTCTATAAAACCTTTATGGACGTGGCACAGACCTAAATATTAGCATGAGATAATAGAAAATGAATAAAACAAAAAAAATTGTTTTGATTAAAGAACAATAAATTATGAATAACATATTTACATCATAGAGTAATAAACTTAATATCTTTAAATTACAGTAAGTGGCCAAAGCAAGTTTAGCTTTTTTTTTTTTCCTATGAACACTTTAAAACAAAGACATTATTTTTTAATCTAAGAGTTTTATAAAATAATAATAAATAAATTAAATAAAGAATAAATTGTGATTGGCCACCAAGACCTTTGTCTCACATTCTGTTCCAGCTTAATTTGGGGTTTTTTATTGTAACCTTTTCGTTATCATATAAAGTATATACGTATATACAGTAGTCCCTCGCTACTTCGCAGTTCGACTTTAAACTTTCTCGGACTCGCTTTTTCGAGGTTTTTCAAAATAAGATTGGACATGACACACAATTGGCTGATTGATGGATGAGCCGCACGATCGGCGTGGAATTTTTATTTAAAATAAATTATTTTTAATTATTTAGCACATTTGTGCAGCCCATACTGCAGGATAAGCTTCCTCCTGCAGCTGATCAGCTGATCTCCATGCAGAGCAGTGAAGTGGGTGTGGCCAAGAGCATTTGCAGGTGACGAGGCAGAGAGATGAAATCATGACATTCTGTGCTCTTTTAGGGCGTTTAGAGTTTAGAAACATTGTTTAGAATATTACAAGAGTGTTGTTAGCGTGAGGGAAGAGGCAGCTCGTGAGCGCTGCCTTTAGCTTTGTAACTAACGTGCCTGTGTTGTCGGTGCTTATGGGGCTGGGGTGTCGGTTTGACGCGCAGTTAGGTTCGGTATGTGGGGCGCCCTGCTTGTATGATGGAAGGGGAAACACTTTATATATATTTATGGCTTTATAAACCCTTCCCACACTCTTATTAACACTTCATATGCTGCTGTGTTCATTCGAGCTCATCTGCTCAGACTCATGTTCGTGCTGCTGTTGTTCGGCTTATTACTGTTTTTGTCCTATTCGTGTTTATCGTATTCTTAGTTCATATTGTGGATCTTATTACTATTTTTTTCTTCTACATTTTA